TATACAGTGCTAGAAACAGAGCAGCAAGCTACTGCAGGTATCAACTATATGTTGGGTCATTTCAGTTTGGAAAATATTGAGGGATATAAGCAGAATCCATAAACATTGAAGTAAACAAATGAAAAATATTAGTAGGTCTTAGAAAAAGGCTCCACAACCAGCATTATCAAAAAATGAACAAACAATAAAAGCCAATTATGGGATAACCATATATATCAGAGTGGTTTACCTTCTCCGACCCAAGGGCACATCTGTTCTAGGCAAGCAAGTTGGGGGCTTCACACAAATTACGGGCAGGGCTGTTTCAATGTTTGTAAGCAATGATATGATTGTCCACTCCCCAGTTATGCACATACACAATCATATTCTCTGTCTTTTTGTCATACACATCACTCTGACCACTTGTCCCACACTACAATTTCAGCTTCTGTCGATGTTCCCACTAATACAATGGGGGCTTATTTATAATTAATCCCTCACAGAAAGGAATGGACAATGGGATGCAGTCTTTCTCTCCTTAACAGCATCTGCACCATGAAAAATCCCCCCTCTGCAATTAGTGTTTTAGAAATCTCCACTAAGGAAGTCTTCAGGAACTGTAGCTAGCTAATGCCGTAGATTATCCATCCATTTTGAGGGAGTGAACGACAGGTAATAGAAGTATTTTAAAACTCTTCTTTTAGCTTCTTCTTTAACTCTTCTTTTTTAAAACTCAGTTTTTATGGTTCTTTTTAAAAATGTCTATAGTTCCATGTCTTCCACCAAAAAGAGCACACTGGGGAATGAAAATGTTTTGTCCATCTAGTTTTTCCCCAGGCTATTTCTATCTCTTTAATATCTTGAGATACGTCACTGTTATTCCTGTTTTTATGATAGGAAATTGATCTTGGGCGATGGCAGATTGTTTATGTCCACACAATAAGTCAAGTTGGCAAAAGTGCAACTTGCATCTGGATTCAAATTTAGATCCAACTCTGTCTACAGGATTTCCTAGAAATTCAGGGCCACATTTATCAATTCCAGATTTCATCAGCACCATCTATCTGAGGACAAGCACACACACCCATAGCACCTAAAAGAGGTCTGGAAGGCAGTTCTGAAAAAATAATTCCGTGGGAAAGGGTGTTATGCTCCATCAACTGAATGACTGCCAGGGGAAAAGAGTGGCAGTTGCCCACTCTGCTCTCTGGTGGCCCTGCTATTTTTATAGTGTTAAAAAGTTTCATTCTTCTTTTGTTGGTCTTTATTTTTTCATTCTAGAATCTGTGAAAGGTTTGTGAAGTACAGCTGAACAGTTAAATGTTTATCTCAAAACCATTAGCGCTGATCACCTAATAGATAGCCGGTTTGCTGAAAGAGATTACATGTATGAACTAAATCAGTTTATTATGAAAACACTGGTAAAGAAGTACACACAACTATGAGACCTGAGATTAATTTCCACATCAAATCTAGGTTAAGGTCTATGCGAAACAAAGAAATTACATCATCAAAAGGTTATCACGCTCACTGATGTTATATATTATGCATAGCCATTTTTATTTTGCACATTACAAGCCACTTTGAACATAATCTCTTTTGCTGCAAAAGCTAATGTGTCATGCAAACCAAAGACTCTTCTGATCTCTACAAGGACGATGCTGTCTCGACCAGCAGACACTGTTAACCAGAGATTTCACTGGCAGAGGGGAGGGAATGTCTTGGACTCCACGTTTTTAGTCAGTTCAATAAACATATGGTAACTATCAACATTCATCCAGACAATGCAAATGCATTGAACAAGCTGAAACTCTACATTCTTTGTAAAGCTGATGAATTAGCTGGCTTTTAACTTGAGAGGACTGTCTTGTGTATTAATGTTATATAGACAATTTACACCACAGTTAGGCACCCTGGTGTCCACCAGATGTTCTGCACTACAACCTGGATAATTCCTGTATGTTATGCTGCCTGAGGCTAATGAATGTACATACTTCATACACTGATACTGTACTCCAAAATAGTTGGAGGATGTTATGATTAAAATCAGTTTGCCTACCCCTATTTATGTGAATGAAAGGCTCTCAGTGACCCCAACTATTATTCAGACAGTGCCTATAAACATGCAGTTTTGACTGTGGGAACATGTGGGACTAAATCTCTCCAATATTCCCTGCTCTGAATGGAAGATATGGAGAAGAGATGCAGTGAACATTTCTTTGTTTGTAGTCAACCCTTCCCAACATCTCTCCATATTTTTAAGAAGAGGAACATAGATTTGGCTTCCTGATAGCCTCATTTATTTTTATAGATCTTACAGTTGAAATTAAATGTTTGAGACTAAGATAAAGATGAATGACTCTCCAATATTCCCTGCTCTGAATGGAAGATATGGAGAAGAGATGCAGTGAACATTTCTTTGTTTGTAGTCAACCCTTCCCAACATCTCTCCATATTTTTAAGAAGAGGAACATAGATTTGGCTTCCTGATAGCCTCATTTATTTTTATAGATCTTACAGTTGAAATTAAATGTTTGAGACTAAGATAAAGATGAATGACATATAAACATCACAAGTCGGAACAAGAAGGAAGTGTAACTGGACCACTGTACTCAGCAGCATGTATCACAATCTTTTATTTATTTATTTATTTATTTATTTATTATTTATTTATTTATTATACTACCCTATTACTGTATGTGAGGGTTCAGCTTTCGGGGCTGTTTGTTCTCCAAATAAAGGACGAGTCGGTGGAGGTAAATCAAATGGTTCCGTATTTATTGCAACATCAACTCCAACATGGTTTACCCCTAAGAAGGGGTTCAGAGATTCTTGCAACACGTTACTTGGTTTTAACGGGGTCCATAAACTATTTACAAAAGTGTTGGTTATCTCTGGGTTCCAAGGTCCTGTTAATATCGGCACAGTCCCCTGCCCAGGGTCCAATTCTTCTTCCAGTGAGATCAACGGAATAGTCTCTTCGTCCCCGCTCCACTCGCCCCAGGACGACCCGTCTCCTCCATCAACTCCCCAGGGGCCGGGTAACCCCCCAGCTTCCTCAACTCGGCTATATGCCATTGCTTCTTACGTTCCAGTTCTCGTGCCACGGCTTCTCTTTCCTCTCGGAGCTTCCTCCTCCACTCCTTTGCCTCAGTCTCACCCCAGTATGACGGGCGAGGCTTTAGTCCAAGTTGACGGCGTTTCTCGGCCTCCTCATGGGGGACTCGGACCTGCTCCCACTTGTGGGTCCAAGGATCCTCCATCCAGATCCACTCCCATCCCCCCGGTATCTCTCTTGGCTTCCCTCTTATATCTCCCGCCGCCGCCTCAATCTCCTCCCTCCCTCTTCC